ACTAAAAATACAAAATTAGCCGGGCGTGGTGGCACATGCCTGTAATCCCAGCAACTCGGGAGGCTGAGGCAGGAGAACTGCCTGAACCCGGGAGGCAAAGGTTGTGGTGAACTGAGATCACGCCAATGCACTCCAGCCTGGACAACAAAGGCAAAGCTCCGTCTCAGAAAAAAAAAAGAAAAGAAAAATGCAGATTCAATTGCCCTGTCATCTCACATGGCTCAGGCACCCCAGAGTTAGGGTGAGAGGCCCTCAGGCAACACTGGTTACTACACGCCTTACAGCCAGCCCGTGGGAAGGGAAGGGGAGCTGCTGCCTCGCTGTGGCTTCAGGCTGCCCTCTGCCACGGGTGTTCCCTGCGTGTTTATCGTGCAGCTCACAGGAGACGTATTCAGCAAACACAAAGCAGAAAAAGAGTTCAGAGGGCTCTGACTGACAGAACTTACAAAAGCACTGAATCCACCTTCCCTGCCAGTCATTCCGGCCAGACGGAAAACACACCACAGGATGGCCAGGCCCACCGCTGTCATCCCCACGGAGTACAGGGCGCTGCCGGAAGAAAGAGAGGCAGGCACAGGCTCAGAGAGTGTCACGTGACAGACACATGTTTCCAAGTCAGAACCACCGCTGGCAACGCTTCCGAGATGAGATGAGGAGTCCCTACCTGTGGGACCGATGCACAGATTAAAACGGTTGTGGAAATGGGTTCTCTCGTCTCGTTCTCGCTGACTGTGCTCTGACATGAAAGTTTCCCAAATGGTCCGATTGAGTGTGCAAATGCTGGAGATACCCAGTGATCTAGCCAGCCCTGTGACAATAACAACATTCTGGCTTTTCTATTTTCAGTATATTTTGTTTTCAAAAGTAAGTGATCAGTTTCAATCAGGCAGGCAAGATCAGCCTAGCAGTAAAAAGCAAATCTCAGGCCAGGCACGGTGGCTCACGCCTGTAATCCCAGCACTTTGGGAGGCTGCGGCGAGTGGATCACAAGGTCAGAAATTCGAGACCAGTCTGGCCAACATGGTGAAACCCCATCTCTACTAAAAAAATTCAAAAATTAGCCAGGCGTGGTGGCGTGCGCCTGTAATCCCAGCTACTCGGATGGCGAAGGCAGGAGAATCGCCTGAACCCAGGAGGTGGAGGTTGCACTGAGTCAAGATCGTGCCACTGCACTCCAGCCTGGGCTACAGAGCAAGACTTCACCTCAAAAAGAAAAAAATAACAAACAAACACTGTCTCGACTAGAAATACAAAAAACTTAGCTGGATGTGGTGGCGTGCATCTGCAGTCCCAGCTACTCAGGAGGCTGAGGTGGGAGAATCACCTGACTGTGGGAGGTCAAGGCTGCAATGAGCTGAGACTGTGCCGCTGCACTCCAGCCTCGGCGACAGACATCCTGTCTCAAAAGGAAAAAAAAAAAAAAGCAAATCCCAGGACTTTCGCCCTCATACTGAAGGAGGGGCTGCCCCGGGCCTGCCCCAACCCTCCATCTTCTGTACATCATCAGCCTACGAAGACGTGAGCAGCACAGCCTCAGAGCAGTGATCTTCCAGGAGTTGCTGAGTTACAGAATTAGAGGTGCATCTTTTTTTTTTTTTTTCCCCCTGTAGAGATGGGGTTCTCCATGCTGCCCCGGCTGGTCTCGAACTTGTGGCCTCAAGAGATCCTCCCTGCCTCAGCCTTCCAAAGTGCTGGGATTACAGGCAGAGCCACCGCACCCGGCTAGAGGTGCATTTTGATCAAGGGAGTACTTGCCAGTCACTGGCATTCTACATCTTCAGAGACTACAAGTCAACAATAAACCTCTCTGGTTTCAACACCCATTGGCCCCTCATTTGCTCCTATTACGGAACCTGTCAGGGTCCATGGTCCTTAACTGCCCATAGCTCCCACCTGGTCTGTTTCCCTCTCAACACTGAAATGAGAGTTTCACATTCCCGTGTCTACACCTTTCCCGTTCCATTTTCCTATATGGAGAGGACAGCAACCCCAAGACATTATCAAGGTACTCCTTGACTCTCTTTTTTACTGCTAGGCTGATCTTGCCTTGCTAACTGAAACTGATCGCTTACTTCTGAAAACAAAATGTACCGAAAACAGAAAAACCTGAGCACTGCTATTGTCACGAGGCTGGCTTGTCACCAGGCATCTCCGGCACCTGCACACTCCATCTGACCACTTGGGAAGCCTCCATCAAAGAGCACAGTCAGTGAACATTAAACAAGAATGTGAATTCAGAAGCGCCAGACAACTGAAGAAAGTGACTAAACAAACTCCAACAGACTTGCACACAGTTGGCCTCCATAGCCACGGGTTCCACCTCTACAGGATCAACCAAGCACAGAATGAAAATTCGTGGGGAAAACGTGCATCTGTACTGAACATGTACAGACACATTTTTGTCATCATTGCCTGAACAATAAAGTGTAACAATGATTGAAATGGTATTTACAGGGCATTGGGTATTATTAGCAACCTACAGATGATCTGAAGCCCATCAGAGGATGTTGTCAGGTTACACGCAAGGACTCCGGCGTTTCACGTCAGGGGCTCAGGCATCCTGTGGTGTTGGTATCCTTGGGAGGTCCTAGAACCAGCCCCCATGGATACCCAGGGACGACTACATCTCCTAATTTCCTGGCAGTGCATCATTCACTTCTATATTTATTTAACCCTCCCACAAAAAAAGTCTAGTTAACTGTAGGCAAAGACAGTTGAGATTTTTGTTTGCAATCTGTTTCTCACACTACAAAGCCAAGTGAGGTTTAGTTCAAGCGTCAACAAACACGTCCCACATACTTTCCAAAGAATCCTGTTCGCCTGTAGGAAACCGGGATCCTGTCCTTGGCCTCGATATTCAGCTCATCTTCAGCTGCTCGAAGCTTTTCTTCAAACTTGTCAATATTTGCAACCTGCATTCGGTACATCAAGGCTAGTCGCTGGGGGGTAGAAAAGAGACCGGACCATGAGAGACC